CTTATTAGATTGTCCCAAAAGTTTTGTCGGTTTTTTCAAATCACTATAAAACCACGCACAATAAACATCTCAATGAGTTTCAACACGCATTCGATGCAGCTTTTTCTTCTCTTTCTTATGGATACAATCACGAGCCACAATCTTGTATGCTTTATTTGAGAATTTCCAAAATTCTCCATCCGTCAATTTTATCTGCTCAAAGTTAAGCCAATTTTCAAAAATTTCCTTTCAAAGTCTCGAAAAAGGTGAAGTATGTATCAAATAGAGCACTTTTCGGACTACAAGGTAATATTTTTAGGTTCTTCTAATCTGCTGTTTTTAGCTTCGAAAAATTATTTCTTCGAAGGTCACGATTTTTGGCAAAGTCGTGAAACACGCAACTGCAGCAAATACACGGAAGTTTTCAGAGTTTCTGCGAACTAAAAAACGATTCATATTGAACATTATTTATGCAACATGATCAAGTTTGATTTGCTTCAAAAATCTGCTTTTTGGAATTTTCGGTACTTTTGCGTGGTAGACGTAATCAAAAAGCCGCGGTTTTTATCAAATAAATAATTATAACGGACTTAGTAAACGAGGCCCATGTAATCTAAAACAGATGCAATGTAGCCAAAGGTTTGCCCTACATATTGGTTATCAGTGCTCTTTGGAAACATCAGGATAAAGAATTTTAAAATTCAGGAAAGATTTGGCGTTACTGATGGACTGCTCAAAACGCCATGGCGATAACATTGCAAAGACAGGGTAGATTAGAGAGCAAACGTAGCTATAAGAAAGAGGTTAAAAATCTGAGTCAAATGGTACCTAAGTCGTTGGAATGTTGTTGTGTGGGTTTTAGTGAGCGATGAAAAAAACGGACAAAACTTTCGGGACAACCTAATACATTATTGCTTTTCTGGATACAATAGTAAGGTAAACATTAATTGATTTTTTGGTTTCTTTTATTGTATTCTAATGTTATTTATTTATACATTTATTTTACTGTAGGTTAAAGAAATTTATATCTTATTGTAAGTTATTGTTTATATTAAATCAGTGACGTAGTTCAAGAAGAGTTGGAGAAAATTTTATTTCAATGTTTTAGACCATTTTGTTTGTGTTCCATAAAAATGAAAAGATAATTAGGAACTACAATAATGATGAATAGAAGTTAAGTAGTGTGTTTGATTTATTTTTCTTCTTCGCCTAGAGATGGTGGGTTATACAGGGTGTCCTAAAAAATGTATCGAACGTTTGATCGTTAATATCTCTCTTCTAAAGAAGTCTTTTCTCTTGCTTCAGGTACCAATCTGTTGAGCTGGCTTCAACTTAGATTTGACTATAACGAATCACTCATTTCTCTTCATTACTGTAGGATTACGGTAGAGACTTCAAAGAGGGTTTTAAGCAAGAAAAGGCCATATTTTGCCTTAGAAAGGAAACAAAACAGCCTGAAAGCTTTTACACTAGGCTAATTAGAGTTGCTGATTATAATTGTAAAGTTCTCAACTTATTATGATGCTTCAATGAGGAGTTATGCCAAGTAAGAGGTAGCGGCCATTTTTTCAATGTTCCTAAAAAGTGCGATTAAACCGTTTAGAAAGCTTCGTAATCTCGTGAATAGTTGAGTATTGAACTCAGCGTCCATAAAAAACCCCAATATACAAGTTTTCACATTTTTTTTTTGAAAAATTTTGAGACGGCAGCTTTTTCCACATTGACACCATATGTTTCAAGTTTCTACCGTAATCAGTAATGAAGAGAGATGGATGATTCGTTCTATAATGCAAATCTAAGTTGAAGCCAGCTCTACAAAACGACACTTAAAGCAAGGCAAAAGACTTCTTGGGAAGAGAGATATTAACGATCAAACGTTCGATGAATTTTTTTTGGGGCACCCTGTATACATTCAGTCTACCCACATCCCACAACCGCACAAGATCCGTACAATGGATCAGTCCGACATGGACCGCTTGAAGCGGAGTCTGTCGTGGCTGTATGTTAATTCTCAGTTCATCCACAACTGAACACCGGGCTTACAGCAAAACATTGCAAGGTTCACTATAACCTTCCCTCCACAGTTACCCGGTGTTCATGAAAACGGTATATAGTTCATAAAATGTAGGGAACAACTCCTCTGTAGAATGACTAATTTATTTCTTTTTGTTTTTGCAATGAATTCCAAGGTTATA